GTGACTATGAGGTAATAGATAACTATTTCCATTTGCTCTTTCCATTGAATGTTTTCTCTACTGCTTTCCCAGTCCTCTCTCTGTCTCACTTTTCCTCCCACCATAACTTTGATATTACAATTAGTTCTATTGGGTTCCTGGGAAATTAGTGTGGATTCATCCAGGCAGTGACAGGACAGCATGGAAGGGGACACGCCAGGGCCTAAGAATAAACATTTACAATTTTCCTTACAGTTTCAGAACTGGCAACACATGTTTATGTGTTGATGAGAATGTGTTGAATGTCGAATGTGACAGAGTGATTCTGTAAGAGAGAAGGAAACAAAGTAATAGAGGAAAAAGTGCCCTGAAATGACAGAAATAGAGTTGTGGGCAGCTCGCATGGCAGTTTATGTCCAACACGGAGGTGCTCCTTTTTCTGAGTGGGTACAGAACAACCCTAGGGCAGGAAAATTGGGAAATAACATTTGCCAGATTCCAGCCTTTCCAACTGGATATCCTTGTGCAGAGCATAGCCTGAGCAATTTCCATAAGCCAAGAGAGAACTCAGCAGCAGGAAAGTGTGGCCACTGAAATGAGGAGGCCCTGATCATTATGGAAATAACTTTTTACTTTAAACTGAAAATAATCTAAATTGTGAATTACTGCTTTGCAACTCACCAAGAAAATATGTAATTTTAAAACCAATATTAGAAAATAAAATACATACCCTTTCAAATCCACAAAACTCAGCTCTTGAAAGCTGGAAGATGAAGAAGAAAAAAAGAAAGTTAAAATATTATTTGCTTTTCAGAAGGTGTAATAAACCTTTGTGTTTTAAGTCGTACAACAAAAACACTCTGTTTTCTTTTGTATTCCAGCAGACAATTGCCAAACATTAGTGTAGCTTCTCCTTCAGTCTCCTGATGGAACCTTGTTATATGCATATAGCTCCATCTAAATGTAAATATCTCTTCATCCCAGCATTATGCTATCTTTCATATTCTTCCTATATCTTTCTGCCTGAGGAAACTTTCTAGTCTCTGTAGCTAGGCCTGGATTAGCAGTTCCAACTTTACTTTTCCTTGCTTTTTGGTAGAATAATTTTCAGTTGCCTTATTATAGAAATGTACAACAGCATTGAATCTAGTTATATGAAGAATTTTGGGGGTCTGCTTTATTTTAAATCAGCTTGTAATTTTATATATGTATGGGAACAATATGACATTATATATACTTACAGAGTATGTAAATATCAGGATAGTTGACATGTCCATCAACTTAGGCATCTATCATTTCTTTGAAACATTTATTTTCTATTACTTTTAATATAACACTTAGCTATATAAATTACCTTATATCATTTTGGAAACATATTAATACATATAAACATATAAATACACAAATATATGGATAGATTATATCTTTCCCATTGCATATATTTAAATTTTACTATAGATTGTACAGCAATAAAAGTAGTGCCAGTTTCAACTCATATTTCAAATGTTATGAAGCAAAGGAAAAATTGCTGTATCATACATCACATTTTTAAAATTTTTACAATTTTAGCTCTAAGACATACTATTCATAACTCAATTGAATAATATTTCTTTTATATCACAGACAATATTAAGAGTTATCAATAGATTACACAGAAACTTTTATACCTGTATGTGTGAAGTGATTGGATAACGAAGATCAGGACTTATAAAAAGACCCAACGAGGTAAGGATGACTAAAAAATGATTTGTTAAAATCATATCTATCACTGTAAGTCCTTTGTGTTCTAAAGGAAGAAATCAAATCACACCATAGATTAGAAACTGTGGGCTCTTTAGTAAAGACATTTTAGAAATACTGAATGAGCTCTGATATAAATGAAATGCTGAAGATGAAGACACCCAAAAAATTACCATCTTTAAGTTCTGCATAGATGATCTTTGTCATGTCATGCCATATGGTGCCATCAACTTTCCAAAATCCAGAAATGGTTTTGCCTATGTAAACACCTACCATGAAAGAAAAGGAAATTAGAGATAGGCAACTTTGCAGAGCTCAATTCTGGAAACACAAACTTGCTGTGTCTTCCAACCCAGGCCCCTCCATGCTGTGTTAGTCAAGGTTCTCTAGGACTGACAGAATGAATATCATCTCTCTCTCTCTCTCTCTCTCTCTCTCTCTCTCTATCTATCAGTCTGTCTGTTTATTTATCTATCTGTCTACCTATTATCTATCTATTTGAAATATACATTTAGTAATCACTCATCTAAATTTCCAAATGTAAACAAACACATATGTGTATATATATATATATACACATATATATGTATATACATATATATGTGTATATATATACATATATATGTATATACATATATATGTGTATATACACATACACACATATACTTATATACACACATACATGCCAAAAGCACACACATATATGAGAAAGATGAATTAGAATGGCACACAGGGTGTAGTCCAGCTAGTCCAACAATAGCTGTCTGCCAATGGAAAGTCCAGGAATTCAGTAGTTGTTCATTCCGCTAGGCTGGGTGTCCTGGCTGGTCTTTAGTATATTCCAGAATCCTGAAAACGTAGGCTCTAATGCCAGTGATCGATTGCACTTGCTAGCAAGGAGAAGGGCTTTTGTTCATTGGTAAAGAATGAAAGTTTCCTTCTTCCGTGTCCTTTATATAGGATGCCACCAGAGGTTATTGGCCTAGTTAAAGGTGAATCTAGTCACTTCGAATGATTTCATTGAGAAAATCCCTCATGCATATACACAGCCTTTTGGGTTTTAGTCTATTCTAGATGTAATGAGGCTGACAACCAAGCATAGCCATCATGAATCCACCCCTTGTCAAGTTGACAAACAATTGTATTTCCTTATGTCATGTTTAATTTCAAAATGAAAACAATAACCATGTCACAATTATGCCTCATAATTGTGGCATACCTTGTAGCTAGAAATGACATACCTTTCTAGCTACAAAAGAAAAACATGTTATTTACTTAAATAGATCATTATTAGGCCTAACATGCTAAAAACAATGGCTCCTATAAATGTAGACACATTCTAAATTTTAGAATAGGTGGCAAAGGAAAAAATGGAACATTTTTTAATAATATTTCTTAATTGATGTTATATTGCATGATAAAGAAATTGAGAAAGAAAACACAAATACCTACAAGAACACATTCTTAACAAAAATATCACAGAAACATCAATTATAATCTGTGTTTCTTCACCTAGCCACATGACCTTAGCTGGTATTTAAACCATCTTCATCTGCTACACTCTGTGTTTTTTCTCCATTCTCAGAAAGGCCTCAGAAGATCTTGCTATTTTGCCTAGAGGACTGACCCATACCTTCATTCCTGAAGGGCCTGTGCCCTTTGTCATCCTGCCTGGATTAGACTGTTGTAGTTTCCCCTTGACTTTGATCACAGGATGTGGTAACACCAAGAGACACCTTAAAGGATCTTCTGTACTGTAGACTTACTCTTTCTTACCTCCATTTTGATGAAGACATCCAATTTCTCCTTGGTAATCTGAATCAATCACCCATCCTAACACTGTTATTCCTTTCTTAGTCTGTAGGGTTACGGGCATCAGAACCCAACATGGCCAAGGAACAGTCTGAGCTTTCAGGTGAATGGAATGCTTGTTTTACCTCCTGGCAAGAGCACTCCCCCACTCTGGAATCAAAACTTCTAGGTCAGCAGTATTTAAGGTTGTAGGAATAGCATTTTTTTTTCCTAGTGGCACACTAGGAGTAACAATAAGTGGGGCTATTTGATATATATATCTATGAGATTTATAAAAGTGGCTTCCAGGCTGTAATCTAGCTAGTATAACAATGGCTGTCTACCAACAAAAAGTCCAAGAATCCGGTAGTTGTTCACTCCACTAATCGGTTGAGTCAGCAGTGTACACCAGAATCCTGAAGAAGTCAGCAAAGACAAGCAGGCAAAGAAAAAAGTTTCCTTTGTCCATATCTTTATAAAGGCTTTCTCCAGAATGTGTGGCCCAGATTAAATGTGGTTCTTCCTCCTCAAAGGATCTGGACTATAGGTGGGTCTAGCTACTTCTAATGACTTAATTTTAAAGAAATACTCATCTACTTGGGGCTTAGTTAATTGCATACTTAGTCAAGTTGACAATCAAGAATAGCCATCAAAGCACCTCATGTCTTCTCTCCTCACTTTGAATCTCACTCTTACTTCCCAAGACATGGAGGATAAAGGAAGTTTGGGTTATACCATAATACTTTATGAACCACCTCATTGACTCCAGAATATTTATCTATGGGTGTACTACTTTCTTAGGATAAACCCTCTCACCGCATTTTTTATCCTAAAAATATAATTTAAGATATAATTTAGTAAGTATTCTGTTAATGGTGGAGAGGACCAGAATGTGTTATTATAGACTATGCAACTCTGGCTTAATGATTATTTAGAAGTAAAAGAAACAGAATCGAGAGATGCAGACTCATCTTCCTGAAGAATACTCCAGACACCAGAGAAAGACAGACCCAGTCTGAAGTACAGACTCCAGGAACAAACAGCAAAGGTTACAGATAAGCAGATGGCCAGAGGTCGGCATAAGAACACATCCAACAAAAATTAAGACATTATGGCTTCACCAGCAATCCCCAAAATCAATGGATATTACAATTCATTGGAAATACAGAAAAATGATTTTAAAGATATGCTTATCCAGTTATTAGAGGCACATAAAGAGGAAATGAACAAATCTCTCAAAGAAATAGTCACACAAATGGAAGCAAATAAAGATGAAATGAACAAAGTTCTCAAATACAGGCAAATATAGCCAAACAAATAGAGGCACAATTAGGGCATATAGAGAGAAAACAAACAAAAAATTAGAGGCCATCATGGAAAGACAGGAATCCACATTCAAACAGATGAAGAAAATGGTGCAAGGCAGGAAAACAGAATTAGAATCAATAAAGAACACACAAACAGAGAAAACCCTAGAGCTGGAGAACTTAGAGATAAGATCAGGAACCACAAAGGTAAGGATCACAAATAGAATACAAGAGATAAAAGAGATAGAATCTCAGGTGCTGAAAATACACTTGCAGAAACTGATAAGGATTAGAACTTTATCTCAGATATAAACAAAGTGCAAGATAGGTAGAGTGTATAGGGTCATAAGGATAAATAGGAAAATTAAAGCTGTGAGTGGCTAATATAGCCATGAATTTATGGGGACAACAATAGAAAACACAGATTACCATTTCTCCCAATCTCAGAAATAAAGTATAAAATAAAGAATGCTTCTCAGAGTAATACTAAAAGATATAAAGAACAGTCAGACTGTCCAGGTTGTCCATAAGCAGGATACAACATCAGAGAGACATTGGATAATAGAAAAAAATGAAAAACAAAACTGCTGAATTAAATCAGCCTATAGATATTAAAAATATAGTGACCTCAAAATGGAAACTAGGATGTGTGTTATGTTGGGGAAGAAGTTTTGCCTTTTTTTCCACAGAAGGAAAAATAGGAGCTGTGGATACAATAAAAATTAATAAAGATTAATGTTGGGAGCCACTGTTCTACCAGCTGCTTTGGTATTTAAATCTCAGCCGAAAGACTGCTTTTACCAGGCCTTCACTGGAGTCAGGGAAGAATTTCCAAGTCTATCTCCTTTTGTTTGAGACAGCAGGTGGGATACCTTGACAAAATCACACCTCTTATTTCACCTCCTTGTGAATTTAACTCATTGTGCTGAGCTGCTTTTACTCTGGCTTAAAAGCAGTCTGAAATAAAGCCAGGAATCTAGTCTCTACTAGAGCCTCTCCTGTGTGTTGTGTGTTAGTTTATTAATTTTAATCCTCACTTCCAACTCAAGAACCATTCAACTCTGCTGGCAGGTTCCGGCAGATTAGATTCAAACAGGACAGAATGGGGTCTCAGATCTCAGAAAGGGCTAGAATGCTTTAGGGAGAGGCCCATGTGATTGGCTGGGGTGTGGAAGGGGTTTTCCATGGACTGTTACAATTTAGCTCTTTTAGAATGAGATTGCAGGTAATAGTGGAAACTCAGGTGTTCCAAAGCCTGTAGCAATACCAAAGTGTTACAGCTCTTTATTAAGCGGCTATGCTAAGTACAGTAAAGGATATAGGCAAGCCCATACTTGGTTGGCTTGTAGCTAAAGCACAGGCCTGGTAAGGCTCCGGGCCCAGAGGGTCAGAAGTCAGGTTCAGTGAGGAAAGGGCCTGACAGGCCTTCCAGGTGCAGCAGGGGGCTTTGATGTTCGTACTGCTTCTGGGAGTTCATCTGCAGATTTCGGGGTGTGGGTGGAGAAGCCCTCCCACCCCAAAATAAATGACAAGTCTCAGACAACCATAGTGGAAAGCTGACGGTATCAGGCAACACTCATGACCCAGCACACAGCATACACCCAGCCAGCACATTTATTTGAAATCAGGGATTTATAAACCTTGGACAGTAGGAGGGGTTTCTAGGGTAAACATGTTTTATTCAACTGGGTCAGGGGTGCCAGGAATGCTTGATTTACATGTAGTGGTATAATGCCTCATTTTACCTACAGTAGCAGGGTCCTATCACAAGAACACAGTACTTAATTATCCTATGGGTGGGGGAATCTCCAAGTACAACTGAAGGTCACTGCTGAAAACTAAGATCTCTGTAGATGGGTGAGGCATTTCCAGGAATTCCCGGATGCTTGCCGGACTTGTTTTCTTATCGGAAAACTGTCCACCTATCATCTTCCCTGAGGGCTATGTGATACTTCTTACAAGATCTGCAGTTACCCAGATCAAGTGGAGGGAAAACCCCACTAAGAAAAGGGAGACCCCCATATTAAACCAAGTTTGAGGCTATCTGAAAATGTCAGAATTCAACCTTAAAAGTGAGGTTCTCCATCCCCGAGACTGTGAACTGTAATAACCTGTTTCTAATTGTAGTTCAGCTCAATCTTTGGTCCTAGAGCTTTGTAGGACCAAAGCTTTCTTGTGGTGTGGCTCAGCCCTAGAACATACCTTTAATGCAAGAACTTTCTGTAAACAGAAATAAAGTTAACCCTACGACAAGAGGTGGAACAAGTAACCAGCTGACAGTGATTAAACAGAAAGGAAAGACTTTGAGTTGAAGGGAAATTAGCATAGTGTAGAGAAGGAGAGTATCTTTCCTTCTGGGATATCAGCTCAGTAGGACCCAGAGCTTTTCCCTTCTTGGTCATAAACAGAGTAGGACTTTTTTGTTCTGGAACTCTAGCTTAGTTAAAAGAGCTTTTTTTCCACTCTGGAATGTCAGCTGAGCAGAAAGGTCAGCTGGGTATTTTCTCAGCTCTGTGAACTAGTAGGCTTCCAACCCTGTATTTGGCTCCTGACTCAGTAGAACTGAATGACTGGAATTTTAGGTTTTGTTTTTTGTTTGTTTAGATTGTTGTTTGTAGGTTTCTAGGTTTGGTTGGTTGGTTGGTTTGTTGGTTGGTTGGTTTTTGAGACAGGGTTTCTCTGTGTAGCCTTGACTGTCCTGGACTCAATTTGTAGACCATGCTGACCTCAAATTCACAGAGATCTGACTGACTCTGCTTCCCCGAGTGCTGGGATTACAAGTGTGTATCACCACAATGAAATAAAAAATTTTTTAACACTGACCTTAAATTCAATTACTCTACCTCACACTACCAAGTAGCTGGGATAAAAGAATATGCCATCATGCCCAGATTTAAATCAATACTCACATGACAAAATGCCACAACAGAGGAGTATCTCTCCTAACATATCACACTGGCAAGCAAAAGAGGTGGAGTGATGAATGATAAATTTTACTCTTTGTATGCATGTACTGTGTAAACTCCACTTAAAACCACCCTTAACCACTATAAAGCGCTGGTTATTTCTAACATTCAACCAAACTGTAAACTTACCGTTAGATGTTGAATCCAAAATGAGGCCAAGTAATGCCACATCATTGGCACAGGGGCACTTTGTCACTATGATATCTATCACATGTGGATATAATTGTTTGACCTGTGTTTTATTCATGGTAGGTCCAAGACTCCACTGAAGAATAGGCTCTGTAGAAGACAAATTTAGGCATGTAAATCATGGCATTGCTCTAGAAACTGGAACACCACTCCTTTCTTTAAAGGTTTAAGAAAAACTATATAAAGGAAGTATTTGATTGTCCAAAGGGGGCAGGAAATATAGTAGAAGTTGGGGAGATGGTTCAGCAGTTAAGAAGCTGACTGCTCTTTCAGAGGACCTGGGTTTGATTCCTAGCACCCACAGAGCCACTCAATATTGTCTGAAGCTCCAGTTCTAGCAGATCCAATGCTCTCCTGTGGCCTCCCAGGACACCAGGCACACACCTGATACACAGACATGCATACAAGCTAAATACCAATAAACATGAAAATATTATACATGGGTATAATAAGACCTCATGCTTCATCAGTTAAAAACAAGTCAGTTTTATTATGCAAAAAAGAAAGAATAAAAATCTCATGATAATACTCTGGCAAGATCACACTGCTGAGGAACATTTAGGTTGGGTGACATTGCTTTAGCCATATAGGGCACACACATGGTCACACGGTCTGTGTTTTGAATTACAACAGCTGGAACACAGAATAAGAATATTTGTAATTTAGGGATCTGCTTCTGCTTCAAAAGCATACATTTCCTTTTGCTCCTTTTTGCAATCCCAACCAAACAGCAGAAGATAAGTAAAAAGGAGAAAACACCCAGAGTATAAGCAGAGAAAAGTATGTTATCATCAGTGAACAAGAGGCTAAGGTCTCTAGGGAATTGGTAGACATTGGGAGTGGATTAACAGAAAAAAAAAAAAAAGCAATTCAGTGTGAGACATTTTCACCTATCAAAGGTACATATCAGCACACATGGTCAGGGTCTTCCCTGTGGAAAAGTTTGTGCTCCAAGAGCTGGTGTTTTGTTTTAACTCCCCTGCTTTCATTTTGCTAAGCTCTCACTTGTAAGTCTCTGCTTTTCTCCATGTCTGTTCTTCCCTGAGAAGCATTATATGCAATGCTAGAATGGGTGGGGGCTCTCCCTGGGATTTCAGCCTTGAGTGTCCCTGAAGCTGAAGAATCAAACTGCACTGAGTCACCAGGCAGGCATAGGTAATGGTCCTCTTTGCAAGACTTAATCAGGTAAATGCTACAATTTTAACTCTAAGAAATTCTACCTGGGAAGCGTTGATATGGAGAGAGTTCCCCTTTTCCGGTGGAGGTTGAGGGGAGGAAAAGCAGAAGGAGGAAGATGGGGAAAGGAACTAGGAGGAGAGAGGCAGGGTACATGCTTGGAATGTAAAATAAATAAACCTAAATAAAATACAAATTAAAAAAAATTATACACAGATATAAAAAAGGATGAAGCTACAGTCAAACTCTCATACAGAAAACAGAATGTTATTACTCCTGGGGAAAAAACAAACAAATAAATAAATAACACCAAACCTTTCTTTCTTAAAATGTTCACAAGAAAAACATTTTTTCTTTTGGAAAAAAAAAAATTAAAAATAATGTACCAAAAACGCACATAAGTAATTCAAAGCAACTTGACAGAATACTGCTGTGTGATTAAAACAAAACAAAACAAAACAAAAAAAAAAAAACAGTCAAAGAATTTCTAACAACACAGACACCTAACAATCCCTTCTGAGTTATTCATATTCTACAATGCAGTCCTATCACCTCCAACTTTCAGAAAATGAACTGCATATCCAAATACCCTAAGGAATGTCCCTCTTCCCCCTAACTGTGTAGTGCAAGAACAGCAGTTTGATTTCTGTCAGTCTGGGTATTATGCAGTCTAGATAGAGCCAGGAAGGGAAAGAAATAGTGTCAGCCTCAGTAACAGAGCAGCACCAAGTTGCTCAGGAGTTCTGAGATTGGCGCGAGGAGCTGACTTCATGGGATGTAAAGTGTTTGCAAGCCATTCACATCTGACCTTAGAGGTTTGATTTAGCACCTCTGACCTTCCACTTCTGTCCATTCTCCCAAAAGTTTTAAATATATACCTAAAGGATTTTCCCCATAACCTACTTAACTTTATCTTTTGCCTATATATATGTTTCAGTGTCCTGCCAGACACAGATGCTTCCTATAGTCACAACAGTGTCAAAGCAGCTACAAGTGTTCCAGTCTGACCTCACAGACTTCCAACAAGTTGGACCTGAACTTTCCCTCCCAGCCATGGATGTTCTTGCAAACCATGGACAGTATCAAAGCAGCCTGTTCTTCCTGGACTTGGCCAGCATTTCAGCCTTTTGACCTTCCTACAGCGCCCCCAGTATCAGCAGAAAGTAGCCAGAAGAGAATCTAGGCCCCTTATTCACTTAATAACAAAAGGCTGGAATGGTGTGCTTCAGGCCCATGACAAGCAGCTCCAGGTTCTCCCAGCGTTCCTCAGTCTCTACCTGCTGCCTTACATGTCTGGCAACTCTCTACTGATAACCTTCTACCCTGAATTTCCCAGGGCAGAGGCTTCCCTTCCCTTCCTCCTCTTTACCATGTAATCTGGCCATTTTGTTGCTGTTGTTTCTTCTCTTTCTTAACCCCTTGCATGACAACCAAGAGCCGCTTCCAGTTCCTATACTTTAACTTATCTACATGAGAAGCAGCCTCAGTTCCTCATTTAATTATAGACAAAGGGAGGAATGTTAGGATTTTGTAACCAAACATGCTTCTGGGTTGCCTAGCAACTTATGATGTCATGATGTGTCGCTCAGCAGGTAGCCACACCTGGAAGGTGTGGTTACCTTGCCCCTTAAAGGGACTAGCCAGCCATGTGGTCCCTCTCTTGGTCCTTTCTCTCTTGGTCCCTCTTGCTCATGGCCTCTTGGCCTTCTCCCCTTTCTCTATGGGGGCACCCCCCTCTCTCTTTTGCCTTCTCTCTCTTTCCCCTTCTCTCTCTTTCCCTCCATCATGTCCTGTTCTCCCTGCTCTCCCTTCTCTTTCTCTCTCCATATCCACCTAATAAACCACTTTCATATAGAAGATCTGTTGTATGCCTAATCGTCTTTATTTAATTTGTCCCATAACATTGCAGTAACAAAAACAAAAAACTTGGGAGTGATTAAGTTTGACTGCTCTAAAGTAAAAGAGAGCAATGTAACCAGTGTGAAGGCCACTGTTAACTTATGATTAAAGCAGTTTCTGTGCAGGATGGCAGACTTTAATGCATATCATAGGGTCTGTTACAGTCTGTATTAGATATGAAACAGTGCAGATAGGATTTTTAAGCATCTCTCTTGAGCTCAGTAGTGAATAAAAGCTTAGAGCCACACCCTCACTTTTCTATTTGGCTTTTTCCTTGGCCCTCACTTCCCTGTGCTGCCCCTCAGATCTCTAACTTCCAGCAACTGACGCTGCTCTACTTGATTGCTCCTTGAGAAGTAGAGGATTCACCCTAGGCGTTCCCACTTCACTCAGCCCTGGCCATCAGGGCTCCCAGCTGCTCTGCTCGCAACGTGTACGCTTTGGGCTGCTCCTGCTCAGCAGCTGCACTGCTCGCGCCTCAGCCTGAGGATGACAGACAGCTCTTGACTGTGCTGATGCAGCAGTGCTAGTCAAGGCCTTTATTCCTGCCATCCTCCTTCCCCCAGAGTCAGGTCTCTGGCTGACAAGCACCTACCACTGCGCTTCTTCTAAAGCACAAGTCAGAATGTCTCCCCTCCCGCTCAGGGTACTCAGTTAATGCGGTTTTCCTACAGCTAGTAAAAAGCCCACAATTTTCTCCACAATCCCTGCCAGCCTTTACACACTCAGGACACACCAACCATGCCTTCATGTTCCTGCTTCAGCAAGGAAGAGTCCTCTCAGCTCAAACCGACCAATCCTGTTTCTGCAAACTGTCATCATGCTTCTGTACTGTCTCAACAACGGTGAGCATGAAATGTTAACAGTATATCTCAATATGTGAGATTTCAGAGTTCCTAACATTTGAAGTGATTCTTATATTGTTATTTTAATGCTTAAAAGTAGCATATGTTAGCCAAGTATCAGAATCCTAAAGCCGGTACTGCAATTATCATTGAATTTGTCTATTCCTAAATTTTAGAAAGCATGAAAGAAGTAAACAAGGTACAATATTTTGTCAGTTTACTCTTAAATATTTTTTCTGTTTTTTAAGGTCTGCATAATCAAATCCAGGACTGAAAAATGCTAGGTAAGCCTTCAACCACATACTCATATATTTATGAGTATATATAAAAGGATATATATATATATATATCTTTTTTGTGCTTTTTTCTTTTTATTATTGTCATTTATTACAATTTATTCAATTTGTATCCCAGATGTGGCCCCCCTCCCCCATCTCCTCCCAATCCCACCCTCCCTCCCTTGTCTCCCCCAATGCACCTCTCCTAGTCCACTGCAAGGGAGGCCCTCCTTCCTTTCCATCTGACCCTAGCTTATCAGGTCTCATCAGGACTGGTTGCATTGTCTTCCTCTGTGGCCTGGCAAGGCTTCAGCCCCCAGGGGTAGGAGATCAGAGAGCCTGCCACTAAGTTTATGTCAGAGACAACCCCTGCTCCTCTTACTAGGGCACCCACTTGGAGACTGAGTCTATGCATTACATCTGAGCAGAGATTTTAGGTCCTCTCCATGCATGGTCCTTGGTTGGGGTATCAGTGCTGCAGATCCCCAGAACCTAGATTTTTTTTTTTGGCTCTGTTGGTCTCCTTTTGGAGCTCCTGTTCCCTCCAGGCTTTCTATCTCCTCCTTCTTTCATAAAATTCCATGTATTCTGCCCAAAATTTGGCTGTGAGTCTCAGCCTCTGCTTCGATACCTCGATCAGTAGTCTTTCAGAGGCCTTCCTGTTCTGTTGGCATATATTTTAGTTTTTGTTAAGCAAATAAAAATAATCACATGGGGCTCAAAGTTGATGCTGGATATTTTCTTTAATGGCTCCTCAATTACTTATTGGGGCAAGATCTCTTACAAACCTGGAGCTCAGGTCCTGGCTGTTCTAGCTAGCTAGCTTGCCCTTTCACTCCTACAATATCCTCCATCTTTGTCTACCAAGTTTAATTAATTAAGGGCAATTGCCACATCTGCTCAGATTTCATGGGATTCTTGTGAATCTGAACTCCAGTCTTCAAACCTTTGTAGCAAGTGCTTTACAGACTGAACAATCTCCCAGATTCTTACCCACTATACTTTGCATCTTGATTATTTCACTCAGCATCTCCGTTCAGTTCCCTGGTGTTTGTTTATTTCCTCACTTTAATGGCATCTACCTGTATGCTTTTGTTCCTCTCCTTATTTATAGACTCTAATGTTGTTTCCAGCTCATTCTTACACAAACATTAGTGCATTAAAATGGCGAACAGGTCTCAGGCATACTCATGACTCTCCTTCACCTAGAATCACTCTCAATTCTCACTGGATTTCATAACAATGGTGGAAAACAGTTGCCAGGCTTATCTATAGAGACAGATTTCGATTTGTGTATAACATATAATGTTGGCTAGTGATAATTTGTTACTTTTTATAAGGCTACCCAAGCATTTCTTCCATAAAATGCAATTTTTATTTATTTTTAATCTGCAGTCTACATACAATTATATTGGACTGGTATTAACAACAGGAAAAAAGAAGGTAAGTTTATAAAAGAGATAGAATTTGAGGAATTAATACTATCAGGGCCAGGCACAGTGACACACACTTCTAATCCCAGTAGTTTAGGTCAGAGGCAGGTGGATTCCTGTGAGTTGGAGGCAAGATATCTCTACATGGCACATTCCAGGACAGCCAGAGCTATACAGTGAGATCACATCTCAGAAAAATATTAAGTAATTAATTTCTTGCCCACCAATGGAAAAACAGAGCTTAAGCATTCATAACTAGTCATGAGCTTAAAGCAGCTAACTTTCTCAAAAGATTTGTTATTCATTTATTGTATGTGCACTGATATTCTGCCTGCATATATGTCTGCATGAGGATATCAGGGCCCCTGGATCTAGGGTTACAGACAGCTCTGAGCTGCCATATGGGTGCTGGGAATTGAACCTGGCTCCTCTAGGAAGAATAGCCAGTGATCTTAACCACTGAGCCATCTCTCCAGCCCCTAAAACAGGTAATCTTTGTTAATAGAAATCAGTTGTTACACTGGTCGTGATGGCACCTGACACTTGGGAGGCTGAGGCAAGAGGGCTGTAAATTCATGCCAGGCTGAGCTCCATAATCTTGAGAAAACACAGCAAGAAAAGCTCAACTGTTCTGACAAAAACTCAACGATATGTTTTGCTGTTTGTCCTCATTAAAAAAAAAACAACAACAACAAAAAAACACTGCAATGTGCAGGTGATACAGCTCAGTGCTAAAGCACTTGCTGGCAATGCTTAGGTCTTACAGGCCTAGGTTTAACCCTAAGTACTGCAAAAAAACAAAACAAAACAAAACAAAACAAACCACCTAAAGGCACAAATGTATTTGATGCAACACTACCTAAGATTCAGATCAAAGATGTGTGTGTATGTATGTATGTGTGTATGTATATATGTGTGTATGTATGTATTGTGTGTGTATGTATGTATGTGTGTGTGTATGTGTGTACGTGTGTGTATATGTATCCAGGTTCAGTTCCCAGCAACTACATGGTGTCTCACAGCTATCTCTAACTCCAGCTCCAGGGGTTCCAATACCTTCTTCTGCAGTCTGTGAGCTCTCTACATGGTACATGTTCATAATGTGTACACAACATACTCACACACATAAAATAAAAAATACTAAAAATCATATGTCACTAGCACAGTAAAAAGGTTATTCAAAGGGGATTCATCCCAGATATATGTGTGTATAAACATATATAAAAATTTTAACATATATTCAAATATAGCTTATTTGATGTCTATTTATATATGCATATATTTCCCTGCTTGCACCGTGAGGCTGTGATCCTGGCCATCTGGGACAAAGAGCATGTGATTCCAATCTACTTTATAAACTGATATTTACCTCGGACAAGATCCAGTAGGGTACCTTCAGTATCATAAATGTTTAATCCTTCGTGCATTGTAATCTTTATTATCCATTGTTCTACAGCTGCGATGTCTAAAATTAAAGATAAATAATTTTATATGTCATATTGGTGAAATTGGAAGCTATACGAACATTACCAACAATGATGCCTTCACTTTTACAATCATTTTGACTACATCTATGTGTCAGATTTCATATATTTTTATGCAAACATTTTTTCTGATAAGATAATGGGAAAGAATTATAAAATGGTTTTACTACCACAGCAATGTATCTTAATGCTAATGAGTTTAGATCATAATTTCCCTCTTACAACTACAGTAAGGGAAAACAAAATCACAAACCTTTTGTGAGGCAAAATAATAGTATTTTAAAGTGCCTGTCAAAGAAAAGCACAGGACCTGTGGGGGTGACAATTCTGAGTTTGACCAGAGGCAAGGAAGAATTAACAGTGTTTCTCATGAAACTAGTCCCCATAAATGAGGCAGAAGGAATACTTCTAAACACCTCACACAAGCCAGTTTTACCCTGATACCAAACCATGAAACGGCAGACCATAAACAGAAATCTCCAGCCAGCATTCCTGATGACCCTTAAGACAAAATATCCTCAGACAGAGACTAGCATAGAGGGAGCTGAAGAGATTGCTCAGTGGTCAAGAGCATCAGCTGCTCTTCTAGAGAAGATCCAGGTTCCCTTCCCAGCAGCAACATGGCCAACACAGCCATCTGTAACTTCAGGGGTTCAAACATGCTGTGAGATCTGTACACACATAGTGTACATGCATATTTGTAGAAAAACGATGTACACAAATACAATAAAAGTAAAGAAATATTTTAAAACACTAGAAAAAATAAATCACGAGCACTGGAAAAAAATTATTCACCATGGGATTCATCCCAGAGGTCCAAACATAGTTCAGTAACAAGAGAGCAAAGAACAGAGTTTAAAATGGGCAGTTCTGAAGAGAAGACAGCTGGTATACAAAGCACTAACATGAGTTACTACTCATCATAGACATGTGATTCAAAACCATGGCACACTATTCTTTTTATCCCTGTTAGGGTGGCCATCATCAAAAAGACAAAAGATAATTAGTGATGGTAAGGATGGTGGGAGCCAGTAACCCTTAACACTGTTACAGGGATGTAATTCAATACAGACATCATGGAAAACAGTTTGGAGACTTCTCAAAATAATAAAAATAATCAATACAGCCATCATGGAATTCAATACAGCCATCATTGAAAACAGTTTGGAGACTTCTCAAAATAATAAAAATAATCCAGCAATCCTACTACTAGGTATGCAGTCAAAGGAAACGAAATCAGTGTGTCAAGGAAATGTCTTTCTGCTTCCATCTTATTTTTGTAGTACTAGTACAATAATCAGAAAGGCTCTTAATAAAAAATGTTCATTTTAATTGGAATAAATACTGAAAATGTAGTATCTATCCACACTCATATGTATAAATACTGTGGAATCTTGTTATTTGTGGCAACATGGATGAATCTGGAGAATGTTATGTTAAGGGAAATAACCCAGTCTTAGAATGACAAATACTGGCATCATCTCATTCACATGTAGAATATAAAGGAGGTGATTTCATAGGGCAGAGTAGAATGGTGGATCCCAGAGTCTCCAGGCACTGGGAAGAGATAGGAGGATATTAGTCATAAACACATAATTACACTTAGATAGGAGAACGGAAGAATTCACAGCTAAGAATATTTGGGCAGCACAAATATTCTTGAAGGTCTTGAAGGACTGAAAAACTGACACAAAATTAGGGTAGGTAGGAAAGAGGTGAGTTTGGGAAGCGTCGAGAGGATGAATATGATTAAAGCATGTTGTGTTTCATTCTCAAAGATTCTCGAAAAATAATAAAGAAATAAAACAGATCACAGACTGGGGAAATATTTTCAGCCACGTTAGAAAAAGATTTGTATCAAAAAATATATAAGATTCTCATAATAACATTAGATGGATACTTTACTGAGGGGCAAATAAACACAAAAAGATGTTCAGCTGACCAGATGGCCCAGCAATTAATAGCATTTGTAGCTCTTGAAGAAGACCTAAGTTTAACAGGTGGTTAAAAACCTTCCGTAGCTCCAGTTAGTCAAACTATCCCAGTGTCCCACATGGGACAGTTTTATTGGATGACAGACTGTTCTAGATCTCAAATCTAGTAGTCTCTTAATTGTACAGTTCTGTAAGAACTCCAGACTGGTCACTATGTAAGAGCAGAGTTATTAAATGTAAATGATCCCTTATTTCAAAATAAAAATAAAAGTTGTCGTATAAACCAAGGGATGGTTCTTTAGTCTTCAAAAAGTGTAAACAGGTCACACTGGAGAATATCATACCAAATACATTCAGCCAGTCTCAGAAGGATGAGTACTACATTTTTCTGTCATCGTGAGCCCAAGATTTCTATAGAGAGACATAAAATCCTGTGTATCTGGAGGGCATGAAAGTAGAAGTAAGACTGCCTCAGGGAAAGGTGAGAGAAAGGGAAGCAAAAAGGGGAGCATAGTTGTGTGTGGATAATATGCTCCAAATTATTATCTGCTTTCATCGAGGTGGCCTTAATAAGTAACACAGTAGAACAGGATTAAAATGTAAAAATTGTTATATGCAGTTCAAATTCCAAACTCCTTTACACCACTCTGTAGCATCGCTCAATCTCGGTATGACTTTCCTGGGACTCAGTTAACACATGGGGAAATGAATGACAGGGTATATAGCGTGCATTTCCTACAGTGAGGAATAAATGAGTTAATACAGAAAGGGATTTAGAACAATGTGGAGACATGAGAATCCCGCCTGCCTGTTGTAATCATGATGACTCTTGACTAAGGTTTTACATTTACAGATCCCAGTCCGCTTAAGAAGATCCCACTTTTGGCTTTTATGCTTTATGATATTGTGAAAGTCATGTGAATTTCGTAGAAATACTTCAAATTCTGAATTTATTTCTTTTCCGTAGTTATGATGGGGTAAGATGAGCTCTTGTGAGGAAGGACAGTGAGCTATTAGCTACACAACAACAGAGACAATTGTGCTCCCAAGCTACGGATACACAAGAGAAGAAGTCATTGCCAATGTTGTGCCTAGAGTAACAATAAAATTCAATCTGTCTAACAATGAAGAAAGAATTTAGAGGTCTAAATTAGAAATATAAGCTCCCTTTGAAAACAATCACCAACATAGGTTGTTTCTAAAAATAATCTCTGAGTGTGTGTGCACAGATATTTGTATGTAAGTATGTATGTATGTATGTATGTATGTATGCACTTTTCTTAGAGTGTGGGGGAAGTCAGAGGACAGTCGTGGGCATCAGTCCTTGACTTCCACATTGCTTGAAACATCATATATGCCTGAGACTGCGTAGGCCATGGAAGTGTTTGGGAGTCTCCTGTCTCTGCTCACATCTCCATAGAGACACTGGGGTTACTGGTCATGCTACAAAGCTGAGCTTTACATGGCTCCTGGGGAGCTGAACTCTGCTCCTCATGTCTGTTAGGAAGTACTTTCCTCATGGAGTCATCTTTTCAGTGAGACGAATAAAGGGTAAAGATACTGATACAACCTCTGTCACTGCTCACAGCTCTACAGCTTCTGCTGTGTAGGGTCTTTATCTCTGGCATTTCCTTGGCTATCACTTCTGCTCTCTCTTCACCTTCCTCCACCTTCCTTTAGCAGGGCACACTATTACCCATAGCCACAGAAGTTCTGCACAAGTCCCTGTCCCACTCTCCCAGGGCTCCCCTGCCTGCATATTTTATGGCACACAAAATACATTGCATATTATAGCCTGTAACATTTTCAGATCAATTCCATTTCATGAAATTGTATCAATGCTCAATTTCCCCAGTACTACAACATGCAATTTCTAGAAAAGGAGTTTGCTTCAAACAAAGGATGGCACATTTCTTTGGTTAGAAATTATTGCTGTGATGAAACACTGTAACCAAAAATCAAGTTGGGGAAAAAGTTGTTTGACTTGCTCTTCCATATCACTCACTGTCCATTATCTAAGGAACTCAGGACAGGAACACAAACAGGGCAGGAACCTGGAAGCCTGAGAAGATGTAAAAAGCATGGGAGGGTGTTTACTGGCTTGTTCAGCCTGCTTTCTTGCAGAACCCAGGACCACCAAACAGCCCAGCAGAGGCCCCACCATGAGAAGGGCCCTCCCACATCAATCACTAATTAAGAAATTGTCTTTCATGCTGGCCTACAGCTCATCTTACGGAGGAGGCATTTTCTCAATTGAGGCTCCTTCCTCTCAGATTACTTTAGTTTTTGTCAAACTATACAGCACAGTATAAATATTGTACATGTTAGCACAGTCAACTTGTAAGATTGCCAGCTTAAATGCTTAGTTGCATTTGAATTTCAGATAAACCACAAATAGTTACTAGTACGTCCACACAACTATATTGGACATTAACATGATGTTGTATGGCACATTCCACCAAATTGCAACATTCTCTCCAAATGGAAACATTTTCTCTAGGGGGTAAGACTTGGCTCATCAGTTTCAGTAGGTAAAGGAAAGGTGCAAAGCCAGAAGAGAAACATGGAAGATTCTTGAGTACCTCCACCCAGAGACTGACCATGAAGGCAATACTGCTAAATTTGGCAATACAGACCCATGATTACAAGAATTACCTCAGATCCCTCTTACCTGTGTTCACTGTGATGTTTTCTCTAGGAATATCAATTAACCAGAAAGCCTGATTGTTGAGCTTGAAAAAACAACAAATCAGAATACATTATTTTACAATGTTAATAACAACACTTATTTTTTCATATTGTCTAATCTTTTTAAAAATAAAATTAGTTAAAAATATCCAATTACATACACAAATGTGTATGCATAGATAAAGGGTTTTCACCAGCAAATCACTGTTAAGGATTTTTCCCAGGTTACACTCACATATGTTACAGGATATTTGATCCCATTGTGATATTTGAGCCCCAAATTGTAAACTGTAAAACCCTGCTTCTTGTTTGGTGTGGTTGAGCCCTATCACACACCTTTAATCCAAAAACTTTCTTTATTGTAAAAAGGTGATTATAGTGTGGTTCATCCAGCCCTAGCACATATCTTTAATCCAAGAGCTTTCTATACACATGATTCAATAAAGTTAACTCTAGGTCAAGAGGCAGAGCAAGGAACCAGCCGACAAGGATATTAAAGGCTAAGAGGGATTTTGAGTTGAGAAGTAGGAGGAGCTTTTTAGCTCTCTAGTGCTTGAGCTTTAGCTCTCTGGATTTTGGGGCTTTTTAAACTTTGAGCTAGCAAGCCTTTGGTCTTGGGTTTTTTTAGCCTGGCCTTTTCCTCCTGGGCTGTCAGCTGAGCAAGTGAGCCTTTGGGCTTTTTTTCATTGGGTCATGAGATGAGAAGATAGGTCAGCTAAGTGTTTTCTCTGTCTCTCTGACTTTTCACCCCAGCATCTGGCTCCTGAGTATTTATTGGCAAAATAGAATGATTGTGATTTTCATTCTTTTGTAACAACATACATATGCATGAAATGACATATCCAAGTGTATTTTGCATCGTTATTTGTAATAGCAGACTGATGGCAATGATATTAAGATATATAACTATACAGACATATGTTAGAACAGCCCAAGTAGCTGCAGACTTAAATGCATGGTGTGAAGAAGAAACTACACGAGCAGTCTAAGCTTCTGGAACTTAAAGAGTCCCCTGGGAACACTGTCTCAAACTGACTCTAGAGATACAGATGATGAAGACCCAGCGAGTCCAGTTAATGCGTCAGATAAAGGAAGATGCTGAGAAGTCTAGACAGTGGAAGCAACAAAAAGACAAAGAAGTAATCTAGTTAAAAGAGCAAGACTGTAGAAGGAGGTATGGGCTGCTTAAACTTGAAACAGTCCCTAGTGCTCAGGTGTAACACTGAAGAGGCAGCACCTGCCAACAAGAGCCTCAAGGTTGCCTTCCAAAAGCAACAGGAAGCAGCAGATAAATGGAAAGAGACTCAGAGCCATGGAATAGAAGACACATAAGTGCAAGTGAAGAACTGGCTAGAAATGAAATTGAAGTTATGGTCAGTAGTGAAGTCAAACGTGATCTGAATGACCTTCTTGAAGAGAGAAAGATCCTAGCCCAGGATATGGCTTAACTTAAAGAGAAAAGGGAACCTGGGGAGAACCCACCTCCTAAACGCCAAATAAATATTTTTTTTAAAAGAAACACAGCATTACTGAAATAAAGAGCAACTTTGTTGAATGTCGGCCTTTTGTCTTCAGACTCCCACCCAAGACCACTATTCTCCAGAATGGAAGCCACCTACTGATGACCCAGAGAACCTTCAGGAAGCCATCTTCAGGTCAATGCACCTCTTTTGGGGAGATCACTCAATGATGTTTGCTCATGGAGATGAGGCTGAGGCCTTCATCTCCTGAGATTTTCTCAGCTTAAAGGAGAAGCCTGTTCCAGATGGAGACTGGGCTCAACTCCTACACCCCCTCCTCAGGAATAGTGCTGAGATTGTTCCTGTCCTGGCTCTGTCTGAATTTTAAATGTTTTAACAGGATCCCCAAAATTGTTTTTATTTTTAAATGTTGAATAAATGAACTTTAGCTATTCCAAAAATGACTATTACTCTTACAGATTACAGTATGCAAAAATGGGTAACAAAGATGGGAGAGAGGTGGAGGAGAGAGAAGGAGGGACAGAGCTAACACAGGTTGTTGTGCACAAATAGCACAGGCCTGGGAGGAGCCTGCACTGAGGATCAATGATGGAGGAAAGCAGCCCAGATGAGAAACATGTACAAGTATTCAAAGGGTATTGGATGGGAAGTAACTCATTTAGAAATTGTTGGCATGGGATATGGAACCAGGAGCTAAAAGATAGCACAGTTTCTGCCCAGCCCCAGAATTTAAGGCACATTAAATAAAAAAAATCTAACAAACGAAAGTGTCTTTTATTGATATGGTAGTGGATTGAATAACAACTGCCATAATAATGATATGTGATTTATAGTAAATATTAATAACCAGGTTTTTTTTTTACAACATAATTTCTTCAAAGGGCAAAAAAATAAAGTAACCAAGAATAGCACTAAACCTTTACAACCTTAGATCAGGCTATGATTTTTTTCATGTGACACAAAAAACACAGGAAACAAAACTTTCAAAAATCCTCAAAAACAAACAAACAAACAAACAAACAACATATATGCCTTGGAGCATGTGAAAACACAAACCATGGAGTAGAAGAAAATATTTTCAAATTATATTTTATATGCAACCTGTTCCTAGAACATATTAATAACATTTACAATTTACCAATAAAAACATAAGAAACCATATTAATAGTGGGCAAAGAGTCAGAATAGTGATTTCCCTAAGAAAATATTCCAGTGACCAATAAGCACTAGAGGTGATAGGAAGCATTAGAGAAATGCAAATCAAAACCATGATGAGAGAGCATTTAATACATACTAGGAGGTTGTAATAAGCATAGGCGAGGATGAGACAAATTGTGACTCAAATAGTCCAAGATAGACTTGTACCACCATTTTGTTAAGGATCAGTTCCTCACCATATAAGCCAACAATTCCATTGGCTAGGTACCCCAAAGAAATAAAAACCTATTTCCACGAAATAGAACCATACATACAACAGCATTAGTTAAAAGAACCACAGATAGAAATAAGTCCAATGTTCATCATCTGATGGATAAAAAATTGCAATGTCTACAGTAGACAATTACTCACCCAGACAAAGAACAAAGCATTGACATTTCCCTTGCTATATAAGAAGCTTGAGTACATTATGAAAACAGAAACAAGTAGCTGCCATTATTTTTATTGTATTTTACTTATATGTACTATATAGGATGAGAAAATCTGTGGGGAGGGAGAGAGATTGGAGGGGAGAGGAGGGAGGAGAGGAAAGAAAAGGAAGGAATGAGGAGAAGGAAGAATAGAATAGTGGTTGCCTAAGTCTCAAGAATTGAAGGAGAGGGGCTGGAGAGATGGTTCAGAGGAAAAGAACACTGCCTGCCTTTCCGCAGGTCCTGAGTTCAATTCCCAGCAACCACATGGTAGCTCACAACCATCTGTAATGAGATCTTGTGCTGTCTTCTGGCATACAGGTGTGCATGCAGATAAAACATCGTATACATAATAAATAAATCTTTAAAAAAAAGAATTGAAAGAGAATGGTAGAGACTGTTTTATGTTCTTTCAAGGTGATGAATGTTCAAGAATTATATACTTGTGAGCTTGTACAACTTTGAATATATTAAAAACCACTGTACTTAATAATTTCAGTGGTGGAATTGAATGCTATGTGAACTTATCTTAATAAATTTGTTTAAAATGAAGGTGAAATACTTTGTAGGTGTTGAGTGATCAACTCTAGAGAGTTCACTACCAGTAGAATGCCACTGTAAAGTGCTAGAAGACATTGATGCTGAAGAGAAATGATGTCAGATCTACAGAAAGCAATAGAAATAGTTCACTGATTAAAGTAAAATTCTTCTAAATGACTTATTTTTAGATGGGTTACAGAGATAGTACTTTGTTCTCTATTACAGGCTGCCCTTGAACTTATAGCAATCCTCATGTCTCTACCTCTTGAATGTTGGAATTATAGGAATGTGCCATTATGCCTGGTTAATTTGTTTTATCATCATCACCAAGATCATTTTCTTTTATTAATGTGTTATAATTACTTAAAAATATGCCTTTATATATTAACCACTTACGATATCATAATCTATTACTGGATTGAAAACATTTGTAAAGATATAACATAACTGAATTTTCCAACTTGTAAAAAGACACAGTATGCCTTGTCTCAGTCACATACCATAGAGTGAAATAAACATAATTACCAGAGATAAGTTAAAGTGGAAGTCGCCACGATATGTGCTGTTCATGACTACCATGTTGGGAGCAACACCTCCTGTTGTAAAAATACTCAGAATTGCCCTTGAAAGAACCTGGTTTTCACTTTGGAAGAAACAGTGGACTCTCTTTAGGAAAGAAAGAAATATAACAAGTAAAGAGACTTTGATATAGAGAAACATATTACATTAATTTATTAGCGAGGAGAAATTTGTTATTTAAAAAGAAACTGCTGATAAAAATTGCTGCCTTTAGTGACTCCAATCTCCAGTGAGGAAAACTTAAATTTACAATCATGTCCTCGGAACTCAGTAACTTGTGTGTGTCTGTGTGTGCGCGTGTGCATGTGTGTGTGCATGTGCGTGCGTGCGTGTGTGTGTGTGTGTGTCTGTGTGTGTGTACCTACACATCATGCAAGTGAAGGTCAGAGGACAAGTTGAGGCCATCAATTCTCTCTACCATGTGGAACCTAGAAATCAAGCTCAGGTCATCAGGCTTGATGGCAACAACTTTACTCCCCAGATATTTTGCCAGTCTAGTCTGGGAAGTCTTATTTTAAGAAAGTCATCAGAGCACAAAATTTCCCTCAGGAAAGGTCATGTGTAAAGATTAACTTTCATAATGGATACAGAACACTTTGTACATGCAAACACTTTAAAATGTAAGCGATGATTTAAAACAATGCCATGCTGACATGTACTGCACTCTAAGCGTGTAAAAATGGGCTAGAATACTAATCTTAAAACTAAAAATAGAAACTAGAAATGGCTCAGTGGATAAGAGCATTGTTGCTCTTCCAGAGGGCTTTTCTTTAATTCCTAGTATCCACACTGTGGCTAATAACTCTGTAACTCCAACAGATTCAATGTCCTCTTCTGGCCTACATGGGCAGTAGGCATGCACATACATGCATGGTTCGGTGGAGTACACATATGTAGATGTGCACAAAACATCCATACACATAAAATAAATAAATCTGCAAACAATTTTTATATAAATACTAAAACCAAAGGGTTAAGCAATTTGTGTCAGGGCATACAGCCATAAAGAGCAGGCCCAAGATTAGCTGCCAGCTTTGTATGTTTAACTTCCCTTTCCTATAGTACAAAAATCACAAACAAAAAGGGTACAGGCTTTTTAAGAGTTATAATTCAAAACTTAAATTAAGTGCATATTTGATATATCAAACAGGAATTAGTTTCCAAGTTAAAGGAGACTTAGGGATAAATTATGCACATTTTTGTAATATTATTCTGTTTTTATTGTATTTGAAATCAATTTTTTAATTAACATATGTTTCTGCTAGCAATTGATACATGGATTTCATGTGTGTTGAACCCAAGGGTAGGCAAGCACTCTATCACTGAGCTACCTTAGCTACCTTTACTATCTTAATAGTCTGTTTTGCTTTATTTTGTTTTGTTTATTTATTTGATTGTTTAAAAATCTTCCATCACTTGAATGGAAAGGTCATAACACCCTTTACACAAAATGACAACTGCAACGTGATCTTTTTACTACAAGGAAAATATTTCTTAAGTTCATGTGAGGTATGTTTCTCTGACAGGATACTTCTGTCGAACTTCAAAAGAACAAATTGGTTCCATATCAGATGAATATTGTTGCATCTGGTCTAGAAAAGAGAGGTAGGAATCACTTATTAAAAATGGTCACAAGCATGGGTACTCAGGAAGCTCAATAGTAAATGAAATATACTACCCTATACAAGTACAGAAACAATTCCATAGAATCTCACCTTCCTGTCTGTACAGTAGAAAGTGCTTGAGAGAGTAGAGTGTCATTACTTTTATACATGGCCTTAAAAGGACACAAATGACATTACTAAACATTCAGTTAGTGAACTTTACCAAATTGTCAGAGGAAAGGAACAACTTCATCATTTGAATGTCTGTGGAGGCACCTTCATTGAAACAAATAAGGTGGTTCTCCTTCTTACCTAAACAAATAAAAACAAACCAAGATAGACTTACATGAAAAGTACCACATTTATCAAACTTATAAAACGCTTTTTACAGAATAAGAATTATGAATTTAAGGCTGGGTAGTGGGGTGCACATCTGTAATTCTAGCTCTCAAAAAGGTGGGGGCAGGCAGATCAATAGTCAGAAGCCATCCTGGACTACACGACATCCTGTCTAAATTACTTTCCCATCTTTCACAAAAACAGAATTGTAATTTTTTCTTCATAATTTATTCATTTTAATCCTGATTTCAGACCCCTCCCACTCAACTCCCCCAGTCCCACCCTCCCTCTCTCTTCCCCTCATCCTCTTTCCCTAGTCCACTGAGCAGAATCGTAATTTTGAATTCACTGTGTTCAGAGAAAGTCCAAATCTTGTACTTTATGTCTCCTTAAAAATATGCTACCAGGGCCCAGAAACAACTTGATTGGCTAAGGCATTAAGCTTGATTTTTACTTTGCTTATTTGAATGTTTAAAAATCTCCCATCACTTGAACAGAAAGGTCATATCACCCCTTACACAAAATGACAACTGCAACATGGTCCTTGTTATACAAGGAAAACTTTATTTCTGCAGGTCATGTGAGGTGTGTTTCCCTGACAGGCTAAAGGATTAAAGTCCAGTGCAGAGCATGCTGGGCCATGATTTCAAGTGTGCAGAGGGTGACAAAAACCCATCTGTGGCTCCCCAGTTCCTCACTTTCGTTATGAACATAAGATGGAGAGTAAAGAAAGTTTTGGTGGTTTTGAGACCAGATTTTCTAAGTTTGTCCTGACTTGTCTTGAACTTGCTGTGTAGTCCAGGATGTCCTTGAAATAACTGCTATATTCCTGTCTTCACCATATCAAGTACTAGAATTATAGATTTACACCATCACACCAGGATAGAGAGGGACTTTTCACTCTCATAGAGAGCTGCTGGCAGGAAGAGGTTGGAAGGAAGACCCCTTCATCTTACCTTGGAGGGAAGAGGTTATAAATGTTACAATAGAAAATGTAACATTGAAGTCTGTAGTTTGGAACACAGGCTTGGACTTCTGCTTAGCAAAAGAACAGGGTTGATTTGGCAGACAGGATAAGGCATGGTATTGTAAGACAATTATATTAGGGGCCCTGCACAGCCACAGTTTGCTAGGACAAATATGGATATATGAATGCTTCCTTTAGGCTGCTAGCAAGAACACACTAGCTTAAGGTCACCTAGTGTCCTGATCTCAAAATTATTTTGGAATCACAGCTGGACCTCAACAGAAAATATTTCAAGGTATGGCTGAATATGTTTAGGAGCCAATGAAAGAACACATGACTATTGGGGCTATGCAAATGCTTTTCCCAGTTTGGAAAGACTGTAGGTAAGCCATAGCTAGAAGTACAGTAGATTGGAGGAGTATGAAGGATCCAGGTCAAGCATCTTGGGATCAATGGTAAGTGTGCATCTGCCTGATCTAGAAGGTACAGTTGTGTGATGACAGTTGTGTCATCTCAGGATCTGTTTGATAAGGCCAGGGACATATTAAAGCTTTTCCTTGCCTATCTACAGTGAATAAAGGTTTGAAGGTTAAAGCCAGAGAGTGAAACAGACTTGAAACATTAAACAGAGGAAGAAAGGCACAACACAGGCTTCTTGCAATATGGCCCAAACAGAAGAAAAGAATTTACTAAAGAACAGAGTTGTGTTTGGACTGTTCCACAGGGATAGAGAATGTAGTTACAACTATTAAAACTCAAACCCATGCTTACATTGCTTAGAAATGGATTGGATTATTAAAAAATAAATAAAACATTCATGGGAAGGGTCAAAATTTTTGACTAAAATTAGAGGAAATTTTAGGATTGGATTTTAATAAGAATTATGAATAAATTTACTTTATACTACATTTTGTTTGTACAACACAATTGTTTATATGTTGTTCTCACATTTGTCTATGTAAAAATATAAATGTAAGTATAACAAGTTCAACTTCACGTCTGTCAGAGAGTTATGTAAGCAGTTGTCAAAGCACTTTCAGGTCACACATTTATCTCCTTTATCCATCCTTCAAAGGCTTTCCAAACTTTTTTTTCTTGACTTATTTTCTTGTTCATTTTTACATCCCACTGCCTCCTCTCCTCCCAGTCCCACCCTCCAACCACTTCTCTCCTACTCCCTTTACCCCCTTACCCCAGCTGGGGGTGGGGCAGCTTACAGCTCACCTCTGTGGGCTGTGTCCCCAAGCAGGCAAGAGAAAGCCGGGGCAGAATCTAACCTGGCTGTTTCTGGGGACCTGCAGGCCTGAATGATACTAGAGTCTACAGGCCTCTACCAGAGAAAAAGTTATGGAGCTGGGTTGGGGGTGGGTGGAGAGCAGCACACCTCTGCTGGCTGTGTCCCCAGCATGCAAGAAAAAAACTCCTCAAACTCATTTTTGAGCTATAATTTAATTCTAAAGTCCAAATTCTCTGTCTGCTTAAAAAAATGACAAAAAAATCACTGATGGTACTTAATGAATAAATGCAGAAGAGAAGGACAACAACAAAACAAAAGAAAAAGAAAACAAAGTGAAAAAAAAAACCTAGCTGGTTTGAATGTACTTTAAGCCTCCCATAAGGTTGCATGCCATGTTATGACATTCCCACAATGGCCATCTGTGCCATTGTAACCACTATAAGAAGAAGCAAGCAAGACTTAAGACACTGTGCTCACAGGTCACATACCTGACAATATATCTGACAGTAAGTCAGACTGGAGAAAGGTCTATTTTTCATCTATCCTACCACACAACCAACCAGACCTTCCTTTCAATCTCTTGCATTAAATATATACCCAAGCCCATTCAAAATGCTCACACATTTTGACTGCTGTACTTTGCTCAGGTTTTAACTCATATTGACATCCTTCAAATAAAACTTATCTGCTATTGGTCTCAATCAAATTAACAGATAGCCAGTGACTGTTGAATCATTTTTTGAGTTTCATGTCTCATCAACAAGCTCTTTTGATGTTGGGTTACAATAGATGAATCAGGGTAAGTCACAAATGATGCTGTGGCCAAAGACAAAAGCAAATTCCAACTCCGTGCTTTTGCCTCAAGGATCATCTGTCTAAAAACTCTTGCAGCATAGAGTTTCCTAGATTTTAACACTAGAATGGTAATAATATTTAAGTGCCTCTAGGAAAGATGGGACCAGACAGGTGACATCTTTAACATTTTTTAGACATCAAAAGAGTAATTACTGGAGGAGTCCAAGAAGGCAGCGACCAGCGCGCACCTTATCTGAGGGGCACAGAATCCAAAACTCTGAAATCGGTGAGTAGAAAGGTAGCTGAAGCCAGGACATTGGTATTGAGGCTTCCTGGGTGAGAGGGGACAACCATGAGCTGGGACAGTTTGGATCCAGGTCACCCATGGACATCTCCTAGACATCTCTGGGGACTGAGAGTGTTGAATATTCGACCCTCTGCACTTCATCTTGCCCTAAGCATGGGCCTCCCTGCTCAGCGGAGGCCACAGTGGTTGCATGAGCAGGAGCCTCTGTGCTCAGTGACCACAGAGGTGGCTACCCCAAGTACAGGTCTCCCCACCCGGAGGCAAAGAGTGGACACCACTGAGCTGACAGATCTTCCACACTCTCATTTGCCCCTACAGGCCAAAATCTGAGAGTAGAGAAAATGGGAAACCCCTGTGCTTTCTGATTTGACCTGCAATTGAGTGAGTGTACCTTCAAGTGAGTGTGTGCAGAGCCCCAGATCCAGGGTCCCTCTAAGCTAAAAGCTAACATCAGATTGCTCCCACCCACACCCCCACTGTGGCCAACATCCCACTGTGGGATCCTTGAGACAGCATTCTCAACATTGAAGCCCCTGTTCTATGGGTCTACCAGTGGAGTCCAGGCAAACAATTCCTGGAGCCCAGACAGAGCTGAATAATGGGAAGCCAGTACAACAGGCCTGTAGGCCACTGAGGTATTAAGAGCACCTATCCATGCACATTGCGCCTGCAAACAGAGCCAGCACCCCCTCCCGCACTCATGTGCCACCCTTCCAAGAACTCTTCCACCCTGTCCTTCAAGGCACACTTCCGTGCACACTCCCATGCTTGCAGGCATTTGCCTGTGACCTTCCTCCCTTAGCTACAGCTGAAACACCAACATCCATTCCCGAACCAGTGAACCTCTCTCATTTTCCTGAAGAATACTCCAGACACCAGAGACAGACAGACCCAGTCTGAAGTACAGGCTCAAGGAACAAACAGCGAAGGTTACAGAGAGCAGATGAATAGAGGTTGGCTTAAGAACACATCAAACAAAAATCAGGATATAATGGCTTAACCAGCAACCCCCAAAATGAATGGATATTTTAATTCATTGGAAACAAAGAAATATTATCTCAAATCTATGCTTATCCAGTTATTAGAGGCACATAAAAAGGAAACAAACAAAGCTCTCAAAGAAATATAGGCAAATACAGACAAACAGAGGCACAAGTAGAGGCACAGGTAGTGGCATACAGAGAGGAAACAAACAAAAAAATAGAGGGCATCAAGGAAAGACCGGAATCCACATTCAAACAGATAAAGGAAATGGTGCAAGGCATGAAAACAGAATTAGAATCAATAAAGAAAACACAAATAAAGAAAACCCTGGAACTGGAGAACTTAGAGAAAAGATCAGGAACCACAATGATAAGTATCACCAACCGAATGCAAGAGATGGAAGAGAGAATCTCAGGCACTGAAGATACAATTGCAGAATTGATACTTCTCTCAAAGAAAAAGTAAAATCAGAAAAATTCCAAACACAAAACATCCAAGAAATCAAGGACACCATGAAAAGACAAAATCTAAGAATAATAGGAATAAATGAAAAAGATTCCAGGCTCTAAGGTCCAGAAAATATTTTCAAGAAAATCATAGAAGAAAATTTTCCCAACTTAAAGAAAGATATGTCCATAAGCATACAAGAAGATTACAGAACACCAATTAGACTAGACCAGAAAAGAACCTCCTCATGTCACATCATAGTCAAAACACTAAATCTACAGAACAAATAAAAAATATTAAAAGCAGCAAGAGAAAAAAAGCCAAGTAACATATGAAGGTAGACCTATCAGAATCACACCAGACTTCTCATCTGAAACTGAAAGCCAGAAGGGACTGAGCAGATGTCATACAGATTTTAAGGGACCACAAA